CTAACATGGGTTGGGGGCCCCCTAAGGGGGGCATTTAGAACTTGCATTTCTTTTTCTTGAGCTGAAAGAGAAAGTGGAGGGAATTAAAAATGATGGAACATCAATAATGTGCTAACCAAAGCGAGGGGGGGCAGCGGTAATATTCGCCGATGGGGGGAGGGGGGATAACACTGGCGGATTGATTGGCCAAATTTATGAACTTTTTCTGATATTATTCTTACATTTTTGCACATGCTTGTTCAGTTGAGTTCTAACGGGGCAGCGTCAAAGACATGGGAGAGGTAACGGCAGCGTTCTCCTTCTGTCGGGCCAGTTTGCGCCAGTTCACTCGGCAATGAAACAACTCATAGAGTTTGTTTTAAAAGAAACTTTAAGCAGAAAGTTAGTAGCGCGAAATGTCAAAGTAGGAATTTTATCCTGAAAACTATAATCGAAAATGCAAAATAACAAACATGTGCTATCATTGAAATGATTGTATTATGTTATATTCTTAAACGTAACTTCTGGAAATTCTGTCTTCATGGGGCCCATAATTTATTTTATTTTTTTTTGGGGGGGGGGGGGGTGTTGAGGTGATGTTTCCCTCCTAGTCTCTGTTGATCTGACTGTACATGATTATAAATTTCATCTTCTCATTTATTGTTATAGCGGACATAAATGTTATGGAATCTTTCCATTTCGTAGCATAGATTTTATAGAGTTTATAGCACAGATATTCACGAGAATTGGACTGGACTGGATCCTATTTCTCACGGCTTATGAAAAGTATCCCCACAAACTTGACAATATGCTTTCTTCTTTATTTACTAATTGGAAAAACAAGAGCCCCAAAAAATAAATGCATATATATACATCGTTTGGTCCCTCAAGACTTTAAAGTCTGGGTCAGCAAAGGCGAAATCTGAAAGTGCTCGATTTTTCATATATATATTTCAGAAACAGGCAAAACACATCACAAGCAGGAGTACAGAAATATTTTTTTCTTTGAAATATATTTCACAAAACCTCATCCATCTGCTCGCATGGCATGAATAAATAAATACATAATGGTACAGAATCCGTAAAGTAAAAAGAAAAAAATAACCCTAGAGTACTAATGCTATTTGAATGGTTTATTTTAAATATACAAAAAGAAAACTGCATCAACAATTATGCTGTTGATTCAGTACAGGGGAAACACTTCTTCACTAAAACATGCAAAAGTAGGCAGGTTATGTATCACTGTCTCAGCCAGCATCGTAATCTCTAACAGCCCAAGAATCAGCTTAAGTATAAACAAATCTAACGGGGACGCGTATCTAAAATGGGCTGATACTCATGAATGGGATACTCAAGAATACTCATGAATACCCAAAGTAGTTATGATACAAAAGAAATCTTGAATCAGTGTCTTGACACATAAGAAGGCAGAGTAATAGAGCATCTCCAATCATTCTTTATACTAAACTAATTTGATCTACATAAAAATATATATATTAATATATATGACTGTCTATATATTTTTATGCATTTAAATTGTTGTTTATATACTTCTAAAACAATATGTCAAATCATATCCCAATAACGTTGCTCAGTCAACCAAAATTCATGTTCCCTTGACGTCGACATCGCGGGATGTGGTCCTTGCGTGTTTTGGGAGGTCAGAACTGTCGCAGCGTCTCCAGTTAAATCACAAGCCATAAGCAAGTCATACAAATGAAACTGGCGTAAAGATGACATCATAAACTGGGTTTCTGCAGGTTTTTTAGACACTCTGGCTGAGTTCCCAGTTGATTGTGGCTACAGCAAAATGAGATTTGGGCAGTGAGTGGTCTACAGCTGACGCAGCTGGTTGTCCCACATCGTTGGGGCGTCAGGGCTGCACTGTAACTCATACAACGCGGCGACTGAGGGGCCTGGCCCCCCCCGGGGGTACGTCGCAAAACGAGAGACCTTATCGCGAAAGACAGATTTTTAACGCCGGCTTCCATTCCACACGCAAGATCCGGGGTCATTGAGGACTTATGCTGAGTGTAAAAGCTTACTCTGGCAGTGTAAGTAAGGCAGAGCTCATTGTGAAAATGGGATTTGACTACAGCTAATAACTTTTGGTTTTCTTACAAGTTTGTCCGTTGTACAAATGTACGATATTTACCTCTAGCTCCAACAAAAAGTGAAAAGCACATTGGAAAACATAGCCTGATACTCACAAATGAGGCAAAGGGAATGAAGAAACATTAAAAATGTTATTAAAGAATGAAACATGAAATAATTGCCTCCAGTTACTGAGGAAGCAGCCGTGGACAGTTCTCAGCTCTTTTCATTACTATTTTTTCCAGATTCGTTTTTCTTGTTAATTTTGTTAGAATGTATGAAAAGGGATGTAGCAATTCGAGCTTCCTAGATTTCAAAGTAGTATTATGAAAGCTTACTATTGAACTACTCAGATACAGCAAGACAGCATATAAAAATAAATAAGGAAGAAAATGCGATTCTGTGCACTGATGTGAGATGATCCTTCTTCTGGTAGAAACGCGTTGTGTTTCCAGTCATGATTCCCTGAATAAAACCAAAATCCCAGCCTAGCCAGCTATTTCACGGCAAAGACTCTTGAAGGTCCTCGGTCACTTGGTGATGTGAAGCGTCCCATTTTTCCTACAGCAGTGGAGCAAGTAATCTCATCTGAAAGCTGCACACTTCACTTTGGGATATGCTGACTGACGGTGAAACCCCCCCCCCCCCCCCCGAGAATGTGGATTACAGGACGCACACATCCCCGATTGCTGCTCAGGCAGTACTCATAAAACCTTGGGTTAAACGGGAATATATTACACCTCACTTATGACTCATTCTAACCAACGTCATAATACAAATTAACATTCTCTGCCTCCTAAAAATATCAGCCTCACCCAGTATGAGGAAAGTACTCGTTTTCATCAACTGCAATGCAGAGTAAACTGTCCTTCAATACGATTTGGGTATACTCTCAGGAATAAGTGCACCTTTTAATCGGGCCAGCAGGGGGAGTGGTGGCTAACTATGAAATACCCAGCCCTATAAATGAGTGAAACCGCAAGGTCATTTTGGATAAAAGTGAAACAAGAATATGTGCAAATTTTAATGCGCGCAGTAATGCACCCACAAATACGCAGTGCCATGCATGATTCTCATGTTTGTTCAGGGATAGGAAGGAGCTGTATGTGAGTTATTTACATGAAGCCACTGCTGTGTTAAAGCCTCTTGGAAAAATGTGAAAGACTAAGAAATGTAAAAACTCTTAATGATAAATATTGATTTTCTTCTTTTCCAGTTAGCCTATAGCTGCTCAATGTTGTGCCTGAAAGTAACTAACTAGCTGACCAAAATAGTGGCCTACAAACTGTCTTCTGTCCAGTTAATCCAGCTACTGAGGTGGGTAAACTAGGTTAGTTGTCCATTTATTAGTTAATGATATACGTTAATGAAAACTATGCTTTGTAAAATGATGCAGTCAACAAGAACAACTGCAATAGCAAACAGCTACTAGTTCTGAAGTTACAGCATGACTGACTTTTAGACCATTCATATCTGAGTGTTACAGTGAGACATAATTTCAACTTTTTAGTCTTTATTCAATGTCAGTCTGGCTTATAATGTAAGTGGTGCATTAAATGTAATCACATTCATGAGGTATATAAACCTCGCCTTGAAGATGGACTAATTATACATTTATATTGCAGTTAAGAGCTGTCCTCTTCAGCACAGCAGACACAAACAAAAACACTCATCTTATAAAAAAAATTCCTAATAAAATACTCCCAGTGAAAACCAAGTAAACGACGTCGAAAACACCATGTCCTGGATCTATCTTTACTACATTACTCATCCTAATGAGCCTGACTGCTTTTATAAACTCGAGATCACTACTATCTATTTACCTAAGTGCTATAAACCTCAAAGACAGTAGCCATAGTAACACATAAGTTCAGGTGTACCTGTTTAAAAGTACAAAACCTATGAGAAAAAAACATAAAAGTACCTGTGAAGATCTTTTTGGAAGCAAGTTACACCATAATAAAAGATGTAATGAGTGACCCTCAGTGTTTTTTCAGCAACACACACAGTCACCATCCACCATGATAAGATGTGGCCTCAATAAGCAAACTTATTAAATCTGCCATTATCTGATAGACATGTGGCCTTCAAATCTATGCTATGCAAATATCCGTTAAATGGAGAATGTTATCAGTACAGGAGCTCTACAGTTGACCAACTCGAAGCGTCATAAATCATTATTTCCCATGCCTGAAAAGCAAATACCCTTTATGGCTTACTATTAAGCAGATGATCAGTAATTGCGGCATGTACTCAGAGTCAACATGCAAAGTAACAGGCGTGCCGTCTGTGATAGCCACCACGAGATGCCGCTTCCCGACATTAAGGCGAATACGGCCGCTAAAAATAGCATGTGTTTGGTTAGCTCTGCGATATCCTCTGTTTGACGATCAAATGCATTCAATTGCTGAAGTCGGCCTGTTGTCTCACACTGCACTTCGTGCGGTCGGAGAGGCGGGGGCAACTTTTACTGAGTGAACGTCAGTCAAATTATATAACAAATGCTATTAAAAAGTGTTTTTCCATTTACACTGCAAATAAAACTGATAGAAAACTATACTTAATAAAAAGACAGATTTTACGTAGCCACGAAACTATTTGTATTATTAGGTTCTTGCTTTGTTAAACGTTGTTGAACCCTTCCTGCTCCTCGACAGCACGTGTTTGTTATGTGCTATCTGCCTGACTTGTACATTGCTTTGGACAGAAGCGTCTGCTAAACGTGTAAAAGGTAAAAATGTAAATATTTCTACTTTCCCTGTGCGTGACTATAATGGCACGTACAGATGCACACCATTACAAAGGAAGGCTCTTGCTGCATTACATATCACGTAGTATTTCTCTCACTCTGACCGCGTTGTTTCACTACAGTGACCCCCCCCCCCCCCCCCCCCCCCC